TTAACGTTTTTGTTCAAAGATATTTTAAAACTAGCATATATTTTAATGATGAGCTTGTGCTCATTTACCTGGCACTAATAACTCTTAAATACTTTTTCTGCAGGTTAAAAGTACTCATATGGTTAAAAATGCTGCTTCTTTTATAAAAGTGATTTTAATTTTACTTTGCGTATAGAATTTCAGCAAGGTGTGAGCATGTACTTTTAAGTGCTTTGTAGAATCAAGGATTTAATCACTCTTGGGTATATTATACAGTCTTTACTATTTATCCTAAAATGACCATGACATTTTGGATTCAAGGTAAAACAAACAAACAAAATGATTTATCCTAAATCTAGCAGTGACATTTAAGGAAGATATCAATATGGTTTTTAATTAAAAGTTTACAGATGGATTCTTTCTGATGTCTTTGTGCCCAGGCACCAATAAGAAAAAAATATTTTAAGGAAGAAATAAGAACATGAGAAAACTTCTTGTTCCTATGATTTATCCATTCTCAATATTTGAACTGCAGTATCAAAAAAAATGCTCAGGATGGTTGTTCATTAGAAGGTACTTTATTCAGAGAACTACTTAATTTAAAGTTCCAAATAAGAGATCTCTTTAACATGGTTGGTACCATCTTAACTTTAAAGTCACTAAACAATAATGCATATACACTAATCCTCTCTGAAAAATTGTATCCTGATGCCATACGTACAGCTTGTCATGAAGCAGTTCTCCCAGCTTCAATTCTAGAAGAAACAGAACAGGATACATCATTACTTTGAATACAGTTATTCAAAGCTTTTCACGCTATTTAAGCAAAACAGCTCTTTGGACTGTCTGAAAGACCTTATACTACAAGTATAAGGAGAAAGAATGCTTTGCATTTGAAAGCTTGTCTAATTTTATCCCAGCTATGCAGTTGATCCAATAAAGGAAAGCACCTACAAAAATCCTTATACTATACGATAAGATGACCCCAGTGGGAGAATGTCTTGATGCTTCATCTTTATAAGACTGAAAGGCTAAAGACCAGGTCCTCTTACTCTACTTTATCTTGTCCCCTCTCTGTCATACCAAAAATCTGAAGGTAACTTAAAATTTTCTTACAGAAACACTTAAAGAATTTCTCTAGCATAGAATTATAAGAGAATTCTCAGACAGTAGAGGCAAATTACATCATACAGATTGCAAATTGCATTTTTTTTTATTTAATGCTAAAATAAATCAGTTTATAATTTTACTATCAAGATAAATTAGCATTAAGGAGAAGCAATCTAGACCAGGGGTGGGCAAAATTCGGCCCTATGGGCTGGATACAGCCCTCTAGGCCATTCTATCCAGCCCGCGGGGCCCCTAAATATTAATTTTCTAAATTTTTTATCTGCCCCGGCTGCCTGTCATGTGGCCCTCGATGGCTTGCCAAAACTCAGTAAGCGGCCCTCCGCCCGAAATAATTGCCCACCCTGATCTAGACAGTATCTGCTTACAGATATTCATTGCCTCTCTATGACCTGAATGTATTAAGTCTCACCAAAAACTCAGTTTTATCAGGTGTAGAAATACACTGGGTAAAATGCTGCATCCTAGAAGTTGACTGTTCTGATATCTGTTAAAGATAAATAACAAAAATGGCACTTCTAAGAAAACAGAAGACAGGTCCATCCTGAAAACAGAAGACAGGTCCATCCTCAATATGCAAAGCTTCCCATTAATAAGCGTTTGTGGGGTGGAAGAGCACAAGATGGTTTCAAGACAACAGGAAAAGCATATGGAAAAGCCAGATGGGCACAGAGAAAGCATATGGGAAAATACAGCCATATACAATGGAGGACATATACCTTCTGAAAAGGGGCTGCTAGTTTCATAGCCCCAATCCTACAAGAAGCTTGGCATAGGCAGAACCTTGAATCTGCAAAGCCCCAATATAATCAATGGGACCAAACCATACTGGAGGTCATTTCCCTATTAGATCCCCCAGGCTGGAAAACAGACTTGAAAAACACGTTTGCAAAGTATTCCAGTTCTCTGGGCATCTTGCAGCAATGCAAAAAGTACAACTCACCTCTACAAGCCTCTTCAAAATCCTGCGTAATATCTATCCAGCTGGTATTACTTTTTTCCATCTTGTCAGGTATACTGAGCTCCCATCCTGAATCATCATCTTCTACAGAAGCTTTCATAACCATACTACTGCACCTATACATCCAAAGCACAAACACTGCACATCAAGAACAAATGACAGAGTGCTTCACAGGGGAGCAAATGTTATTGCTCAAGGAACACATGCAAATGTAAGTTTAAAAAGCTGTAAATGTAAATTTAAGGCTGGTCAGCCCCAACATTCACCTTCCCTTCCAAAGGATGTTTTCTCTTTTAGAATTCCCAAATACATCATATGGGATAACATTTTGCTGTGCTTATTGCTGTTGTTAAACTCACAAAAATGCTAGGTTGGAGAACCCCTGATAAAGTCAGAGTTATCGTAAACCCCCCCAATATGTTAAAAGAATATATGAACAGTTTCAAACACTATATATGCTATTTTGGGGTGCCAAACTCATCTGGCCCCTGGTGCAGGCCCAGTCCACATGCTGGATCAGGCCTACAGATCCCATTCTGCCCCGCCGCCTCACCACATCTGCCTGGCTAATGTAGCACAGGTGGCACAGCCCTCCTAATAGCTATGTAAGTAGTTTCTTCTGAGCAAGAAATGTCCTTAAGTGGTTGTTTTTACTCATGGTATAATTGGGAACAGTTAGCAATGGGCACAAATAATGTGCCGGATATGCACGTGTGAGAAAGCAACACACACCTAGAGTGTGAAAAAATCACTGTTAATCCCTCACAAATATTCCAAACAGGCAAAATACTACAGCTTCTCCACACTAGCCAGCCAATGTAACATATATTATAACCCTGACTTCACTGGCATGTCAATATTGCATCCAGACTAGGTTTTAATTCAGGTCAGTTTTGTCAGCAACAAACCAGCCTCCATACAAGTAAACGGGGAAGAGGAGAGGGGTAACAGTACACACAGGTTGCCAGGAAAAGGATGGCACTCTTCTTCTCCACATCCATCATAGATGAGCTGCTGTTTAAGAAATCTGGTCCAGTCAGAGAGGTGCTGCTAACAGTGCATGTCCCAGGCACTGAGCATGGGGATGCTCTAGTGCAGCAAAAGGGGCACCACCAGGGGCTGCATTATGGAGCTCAGCAGACTGCATATATGATACCACTACACTATACTATACCTTTCCTTTCCAGTTGTTTTATAATAACCATCATCGTCGGCAT